TTTTTAATCCAATCTGATAGCCTGAGTCTTTTGATTGGGGCATTTAGCCCATTTACATTCAGGGTAACTATGGAAAGATAGGAATTTAGTGCTGTTGTATTGCCTGTAAGGTGACTGTTACTGTATATTGTCCGTGTTCCTTCTGGTCAATATTGCTTTTAGGCTCTCTCTTTGCTTAGAGGACCCCTTTCAATATTTTGGTTACAAGATTTTAACAAAAGAACTAGTAGTGTCCAGTTTCCATGGTTCTCCTATATTTTTTGAAAAAACTGAGCAATATCTCTCAGCCCTCTTTGTAGCTACTTTGTAAGTCATGAAAAAAAATGATACTCAAAAATCATAACGAACCACCATTTTTTTTAAGATTTTATTTATTTATTTGACAGAGAGAGACATAGTGAGAGCAGGAACACAAGCAGGGGGAGTAGGAGAGGGAGAAGCAGGCGTCCTGCGGAGCAGGGAGCCCGATATGGGACTCGATCCCAGGACCCTGAGATCATGACCTGAGCTGAAGGCAGACACTTAACAACTGAGCCACCCAGGCGCCCTACAAACCACCATTTTAATCAGACTATTTAAATGTTCCTTCAAATCAATAATGAAAAAACATGAGTACTGTCAAATTACAATGAAAGAAATAATGAGAGCTAATATCAGGGGTAGTCCAGAAATATTTCCTTCAGACATAAAATGAAATCTGCACCCAGACAAGCCAAATTGAGCAAACAAAATAAACTTAAAAGAAACAGAAATTTTAGGAGTAGTATGCAAATAACAAAACATTGAAAAAAATCTATTTCAAAAGTCATCATTTAGATAGTTACTGGATTTTCTTTTAACAAATAAGGAAAGCCAAAGGGAAGTGACATGATGCATTGAATAACTTAAAATAATGACTATCCTGTAATATACTATCCCATGTAGCAGCCATGGGAATGTATCTCTCAGATCACTGACGGGGGCATAACTAACATCACCAGCTGCTGTGCTTTCAAATCCATCACCAAGGGTGTCCAAATGCCACACATCTCATGGGCTGCCCCCAGATCATCTGAGCATATCATGTAAACTAAGACAAGTTAATGCCTGAGAGTAATAATTCCTGTGATGACTGATTTTTTTGAAAGATTTTATTCATTTTTTTGAGAGAGAGTGAGCATGGGTGGGCTTGGCAGAGTGAGAGGGAGATAGAGAATCTCAAGAAGATTCCCCACTGAGTGTGGAGCCAGATACGGGGCTCAACCCTAGAACTCTGAGATCATGAACTGAGCCAATCCAAGAGTTGGATGCTTAACTAACTGTGCCACCCAGGCGCCCCATGTGATGAGTGATTTTAAATAAAGGACTCCCCATCAACCTTGCACGAAATTTGGTAGAGCGTAATTACACTTCCTTTCATCTCTGCTTCACATGAGTCAGACTCGCTTTGTGGGCTGACAGTTCCTGACTTCTGACTCCTTCCCATAAGAGATGTATTGTCGGGACGCCTGGGTGGCTCAGTCGGTTAAGCATCTGCCTTCAGCTCAGGTCATGATCCCAGGGTCCTGGGATCGAGTCCTGCATTGGGCTCCCTGCTGCGTGGGGAGCCTGCTTCTCCCTCTGCCTCTGTCTCTCTCTCTGTCTCTCATGAATAAATAAATAAAATCTTTAAAAAAAAAGAAAGATGTATTGTCTAGGATGTAACTTTATTTTACCTGAAAGCTAATAAGTTAGATCTGACCCTTTCATGGATCCTGGCAGAAGATACAAGATTCTTCCATTTGCCCCCAAGTTCCATGGTGGAGATGCCATGTCTCAGGAGAGATTAATCCTGTTAAGTAGATTTGCATTATAATTGAGAGATAGTGACCTGAGGATCCCTGCTATATTATAGCATGCAAAAATTAAGACTGCTCTTTGTTCCATAGAGAGGGAGAGTCAAATACCACATATTTCAAGTCTGGTCACCTTGACACTGAGAAAAACCCATGTGAGTGTCTTTAGTGTCTTACATTCTTAGCATATCAAGCAAGATGTGTAGGAGTAATAGAAATCTATGGAGAGTGTCTTCCAACAATAGATATCCTTCCTGTGTAATCTTTCCTGGCATTCAGATCAACACACCAAAATCCCACCCCTAAAAACAAAGCAAAGAAACAGAAAAACTTAGGTAACCCAGGGCAGCATGCTTTAAAGAAAATAACTGTTTTTCAGAGAGAATGAAATTTATCCAAGAAGGAAAGTCGGAGATCTACTACATAATGAAGATCAGTGTAAATATTCATGAGCTAGAAAATACAATTGGAGGGTGCCTGGATTGCTCAGTGAGTTAAGCTTCTGACTTTGGCTCAGGTCATGATCAGAGGGTCCTGGGATGAATCCCACATCTGGCTCCCTCCTCAGTGGGGATTCTGCTTCTCCCTATACACCAGCCCCCCCCACCCCTGCTCTAGCTCTTTCTCTCTCAATCTTTCTCCCTCAAATAAATAAATAAATAAATAAAGTCTTTTTAAAAAAGAAAAGAAAATACAATTGGTCAAAAAAGGGTAAATATTCAAGTTTCTGCAATTATAAGTTTTAATATAACTATATATAAAAATAAAATCTGTTTCGTGCATCTGGCTGGGTCAGTCATAAGAGCATTTTACTCTTGATCTCAGGGTTGTGAGTAGGATCCCCACATTGGGTGTAGAGATTATTTAAAATAAATAAATAAAAAATAAACTTAAAAAATAAATCCTGTTTTATGTTTTCAGAAGCTTGATAGGCTTGTTTGAAAATTTATATATGAACTATGTGGAAAAGAGTCAATAATTTTCAGGTAAAGAAAGAACAAGTTTTTCTTTAGATGTGAAGACTCATAAAATTACATTTAAAAACTTTGGTATTTCTTCAAGTAGAACAGAAGAAAGGACAAAAACTGTACAATGTATAGATGTGACACAAAGAAGGACAAATTAATGCAGAAATAAAGAAGACATGGTGCCCACTGAATACTTGTATCATTATGGTTAAAATAAAATGTACTGCCTACCTTACTTGATGCATGAAAAATTAATTCCAGGTAGATAATTGATGTTAATTTGAATTGAAAAAAATATATATATAAAAGTTTTGAAAGGCAATATAACAGAATATATTTATGACTTCAGATTAGGAAAATAATCCTTTCATGGAATGTAAAAATAAGTTTAAATGTAAAATAAAAATTTTAGTAAGTCCAACACACTAAATTAAGGACATTTGTTCTTTACAGATAACATTAAAACAATTTATAGAGTAAGTCATGAAAAAAAATGATACTCAAAACTCATAACCAACCACCATTTTAATCAGACTATTTAAATGTTCCTTCAAATCAATAATGAAAAAACATGAATAGGCAACTTATAAAAGAGGAAACCCAACATTTAAAAGCATCATCAATATCATTAATCATCAAGCAAATGAAAATTAAAAACATAGTGAAATGTCTATGTAAACCCACAAGGGTTAAAATTAAAAAACTACCAAACACCAAGTGGTCCTGAAACTTTGCATCCTCAGGAACTATTATAAAAGATGACTTGAAGTGAAACTTGATGCAGCCATACTGCAAAACCAGTTGAAATTATTTAGTTTTATTATATGTATAACCCCTAAACAAGTCATTACACTCCTAGAAATACCAATACTATACCTATTAGACCTGTTAGAATGGATGTTTTCAAAAAGATAAGAAATAGGCAATGCTGGGAAGAATATGGAGAAAAAAGAATGCTTGTGTACTTTTGGTGGAAATGTAAATTGGTGCAGCCACTATGGAAAACAGTATGGAGTTCAACAAAAATTAAAAAGAAAACTGTCAAGTGATCCAACAATTCAACTTCTGGGTATTATCCTAAGGAACCTAAAACACTAACTCAAAAAATACTTATGCATCTCCATTTTCATTTCAATAGTTTTACCTTAGCTAAGACATGGAAACATGTATCTGTTACTTAAGTATATATTGATGGATGAATGGCTAAATAAAATGTGGTGTATATATATGCAATGGAATCATAGTCACCCATAAAAATAATATATTGTTATTTGTGACAACACGGATGGATCTTGAGGACATTATACTAAAAAAGTCAGAAGTCAGTCAAACAGAGAAAGACAAATACTGTATGATCTCGCTTATATGTGAAATCTGAAAAAGAATATGGCGAGACCAGTTCTTCTCATTTTATTGCAAAATTGCACAAGAAAATTTCAACTGATCTGTTAATCAATGTATCTACCATCTATTTTTTCCTGTATATATCATCTATCATTTTTCTTTATAGCACATTTCTAGATACCCTAACTTTAAAACTTATGTCTATTGACAGCATTCCCACCTCTAATTAAATAGTCCATTTTTAAATTTTTTCAATTAAAGATTATTTTAAAACTTGTGTGCATTTTGTGTCTTTTCTTGTACTTTCTGCTGGTATGCTCTTCAAGTTATACTGTCCCAAATCACTATTTCCACATATGAGTTTCCCAAATTTGTTGTTTGAAATGGCAACTTGTAATCTTCTTAATCCCCTACTTGTTTTACCATGTTGAACATCCTCTGGCATTTGGCTCACGGTGGAAGCCCATATGCTGTGGGGAAACAGTCAAAGGACTAGTGTTGGATATTTGATTCTGTCTCCAACTTGTGGGGTCTTTTAAATAAATATTTTAATATGTCAGAAAATAATAAATAAATCTGTTTACACCATACCAAATTCAGTCCACACACTTATTAAACACTGTGCAGAAGTTTTCTAAAAACATCACACGTGTTTTGTTTCAACTTATGAAGAGTAAAATGTTTTTCCAGCTATAAAGAGCTTCTTTTGAAATGTGGTGGAAAAACTATTTCCATTCATTTTTATCTGAATCATTATTGTGATAGTAAAGTTTTGGGGGAAGGGATTGGTATGTCATGATAGAAGTGACATATAAGCTTGCACGATCTCAATAGCTGTGCCATGTCCCCATCTAAAGCATGCAAGTATATTATACTATGTGATATCATCATCATCATCATCATCATCATCATCATCATCATCATCATCTAATAATATACGGCATGTTTAAAGTTCCATAGAGTAGGTAAAGGAGGGCCAAAATGATGGAGAAAGGACTTTGTAGAAAAAATGCCAAAGTCATAAGCTCTGTTATCATAACACAACATTACCAAAGGATGAATGACTTGTTACAGTTCTCTTTGCTTTGAATGTAAAACATAAGAAATCATCTCAGTTCTACTTCATTATACTACTCATTAACTCTGTTTATCCCAGTTGAAAATTGGGGTGTATTCATGTAGCTGTATATGTATACTTGTGTTATGTACAACCTACTCTTTATGATTTTTCTTAAAAATTTACTCATTATTTCATGTCCTTAATTCTAAGATAAACATTTGTTTCATATTTCAATGCTTTTATAATAGGTGTTCATTCAAAATTGATATAATCATTTAATGTAATGTTTATTTTCTTGAAAAATAAGTAATTAAATTTGTGGTACACTTGAAAATAATAGAAATGAATTTATATTTACACAAAAGTATGTTAAAGGAGAAGTTATGGTGTAACTTATGTGATCAGAACCATGATTTGGACTACAGAAATAAATCAAAGGTTTTTTTTTTATGTATGGTTTTTTCACATAGGCATCACTTAAAACAGTTGCTGTGTATTAAAATAATTTGCTTTTTAGAAGGGATATATGTTTTTTTATCAACTATATGTATGAGTCTCACTAGAAGAGATATCAAAACCATTTCCATAAACTATGTACAAGGATTTAGAGATCGGGAAATACGCAATTCAATGCTCTCATAATTCTCTATATCAAAACCTTATTTAAGCTAGACTTTGAAACATGGATATAATTTGGAAACGTAGGAGATTTCATGAGGAGGGTAATATAAAGCTTCAGAAATGCAATGATGAGTCTACAGAACATGAAAGGTATTGCTACAGTCAAGACATTTTTTTTATGTCTCTATGTTATGAGCCATATAACATAACAAGCTACCCATCTTCCCTTGGTCTCCTTTTTCCATCTGTTTAACTATATTCACATCACTTCACATTGGTTGGAAGAATAAAAGTGACAAGATAGTTTTCTGCAGCAAAAAATGGAAATAATTTTAAATATTTAGGCTATTTGAAATGTTACATGACACTGAAACCTGGAAAAAGTCGATGTGGGATTTATCACAATGAGAGAGACAGTGCCAGATGCTATTTTCATAAATTCCAACATTATTAAAAAAAATAATTAACCCAATATCTAACATCAGCACATTAGATAAAAGTTAATTAGATAAAGAGAAAAATATATGAGTACAAAAAATAGGATTTTCATCAAAAGAAACAAAGATGTAAGAGAATAATCTACTTACATATATGAGTAACTCTATAAAATCCATCATAAGACATATATGTCAAATAACTGAAGCTTGTGAGTAAATTGAGTATTTTCCTAAATTGCAAAATTTAGTCAAGATTAATTTATATTAAAATCAAATTTTCAGGGTGGCTTGGTGGCTCAGTTGGTTAAGTGTCCCGACTCTGGATCTCAGCTCAGGTCTGGATCCCATGGTCATGAGTTCAAGCCCCACGTTGGGCTCCATGCTGAGTGTGGCGCCTACTTAAAAACAAACAAACAAACAAACAAACAAACAAATAAATAATCAAATTCCCATCAGATATTGAAAAGCAAATCCTATAAAGTAAAATGAATAAAATATAGATACAAAATCTAGGATATTAAAAAATGATATAAATGAGGGCGCCTGGGTGGCTCAGTTGGTTACGCGACTGCCTTCGGCTCAGGTCATGATCCTGGAGTTCCGGGATCGAGTCCCGCATTGGGCTCCCTGCTCGGCAGGGAGTCTGCTTCTCCCTCTGACCCTCCTCCCTCTCATGCTCTCTGTCTCTCATTCTCTCTCTCAAATAAATAAATAAAATCTTTTAAAAAAATGATATAAATGAAATGTCATGGAAGATGATAGTTTTGGAGGAATAAAAATCTCATGCAAATCTCATTGTATATGTAGCTTATCACAGGAGTCCAAGTCACTGAAGAAGTAAGAGAAAAAAATTTCATAATTTCTATATAATTAAGATAGAAAGTGAAGGAATATAAGAGAAAATTAATTTCTATTATAACTGACAATCAGAGGGGCGCCTGAGCTGTTCAGTCAAACATCTGCCTTTGGCTCAGGTCATGATCCTGGGGTCCTGGAATTGAGCCCAGAGTCAGGCTCCCTGCTCAGCGGGGACTCTGCTCCTCCTTCCCCCCTGTTCCTGTTCCTACTCTCTCTCTCTCTGAAATGAATTTAAAAAAAAATTGACAACCTGAGATTATTACTAACAAGACTCTATGGTATATTATTGATCTTTAGTAGAAATAATTCCAAACAGCTATTTAATTGAGTAATAAACAACTTCAAATTTAATCACCTTTCCATTACTCCTTTTAATATATATATTTTTTCTTTTTGAAACAAAGTTTTATTCAGGACACAATTGATGCAATATGAAATGGGGCAACATTTTCAACATCTGTTTTCAAAATGTTCTCTCCATAGAAAGAGTTATATTATTAAAATCAAATAAAAGCAAGTAGCTTAATTTTAATTTCTTTTTTCTTTCCTTGTCTTTCCTTTCCTTTTTTTTTTTTTTGGCTTAACTTTAATTTTCCTGTAAAATAATCAGCTAATCTCCATAGGACTTTAACAAGAGCTAATTTAATATCTTTTCTCCTCAGACAGTAGATAACAGGGTTCAAGGTTGGGGGTACCACAGAATAGAACATAGACACGAACAAGTCAGGAAGAGAAGGTTCATCAGAGTTTGGCTTTAAATAAGCAATAGCACCTGTTAGAAGGAATGGACTCACTCCAAAGAGGTGAGGCAAGCAGGTGGAAAAGGCTTTGCCCTGCTTCTGTCTGGTTGGGATCTTTAACACGGTAGAGAAAACATGTACATAAGAGACCACAATGCAAACTAAACATGAAAATCCATAACAGACCCCAATGGCCACACTGACATTAATAGTTGCATGTTCCACAGAACAAGTGAGCTTCAGTAGGGCGGGCACATCACAAAATAACTGATGTATCTTAGTGGACCCACAAAAATTTAAAGAGAATGTCCCAGCTGAGTACAAGACTCCAAAGACCCCTCCACTGAGCCAGGAGACTAACACCAGCTGGACACAGACCTCTTTGCTCATAACAGCCTCGTAATGAAGAGGGCGACAGATGGCAATATAGTGGTCATAGGACATTGCAGTGAGAATGCTAACCTCGGACCCAGACATTAGTATCACAAGGAAGACCTGTAACACACATCCCAGAAAAGAGATGGAGTCAGTGAAGGCGATGGAGTTGAGGATGGATTTGGGGACTGTGGCAGAAATGAGACACATATCTAAGAAGGGTAAGTGCCTTAGGAAAAAGTACATTGGAGTGTGGAGGTGTTGGTCAAGAATTGTGAGGAGGATGATAATTAAATTCTCCACTATGGCCAGTAGGTAGATCAGTAAGAGGAACACAGCATGTAGCCTCAATAGCAACTGGTTCTCAGTAAATCTCAGAAGCAAGAATTCCATTATTACTGTTTGATTCATCATATTTTAAAATTAAAAGCCACCTATTGAATAAAGAAAAAAGTTATATTAAAGTAACAAAATATTATCTGCTTCTTTATTTTTGAAACATGTATATTTTAGCATCATGGGATAGATGGAAAATTTAAAATACCTAGATATCTATATTTATAGTTTACTCAGATATAAAACTAATATAAGCAAAACAGTCCAACATAACTGGACTTAAAATTCTTTATGACAGATGAAAATAATTCCACTCCCCTCCCTAACTCAATACTTGAAATGATTTTTGAGTAAATTTATTTCAACGGGAATTGCAGAATTGGATACATAATTCTAATTGTAATAGAATGCATATTTGTTATGCAAAAATATCCTAATTGATGTAAGTGGTGATGTGGGTTAGAAGTCATGGATGAGAGATTATGGGGAAAAAAAGAAGCCATGGATGAATTTTCTGTTTGTAGCATATTGCAAACTGTTTAATAATCATTAATGTTAGTTGATGTTCTAATATATTACCCACTTCTCTTTGAAAGACATTAAGGTTTATCCCATGTTTTCATTAAAAACCTATTTTTTTGGTGAAAATATCATCACCGGGGTGCCTGGCTGGCTCAGTGGTGTGCATTTGCCTTTAGCTCAGGTCATGATCCCAGGGTCCTGAGATCCTGGCAGGAGTAGGGCTCCCTGCTTAGTGGGGAGTCTGCTCCTCCCTCTCCCTTTGCCCCTGCACCCCACTCATGTTCTATTGCATGCTCTATCGCTCTCTCTCTCAAATAAATAAATAAAATATTTAAAAGGTAAATATCATCAATATTATTTGCTATTTCTTTGTGAAGATATTTACTAAAAAACAAAACAGAAAGCTACCCTGGTAATTTTGTCAAATTGGTTTAAAAATGTATAGTACCATTTTCTTATGAAAAGAATAAAATTTAAGACTATAAGGCAGATTATTAGCATGCAACACTAGCAAGGATCTAACTAACACCAAGAAAAAGCACAAATTAGAGATGTCAACTGTATCTAGTGAGAAAAATTGAGTGTCCTCCCATTTTAGACTCACACAAGACATAATCCATGATCACTCAAAAACCCCATTGGGAAGATCTTTCATCATAATTCCATCCCTCAGATCTTCCTTATCTTTTTTATTTTATTTTTTTATTATTATGTTCAGCTAGCCGACACTGAGTACATCATTAGTTTTTGATGTAGTGTTCAATGGTTCATTAGTAGTGTATAACACCCAGTGTTCATCACAACAGGTGCCCTCCTTAATACCCATCACCTTTTAATTGTACTTCAGCTGCACTTCAGTGACAATTTCTTTAGATTTCCATACAACCTCCTTCAACCCCTCACAATATGTGTGTCTTTCTCAGTGAACACTAATTTAAGAAAAAAATTTCCTTAACTTCTGTAAATGAAACTCAGCTTTTCATACACAAGGTTCTAATTCAGTACTAACTGTAGAAACGTTTTATCCACCCTTGGAATCTTTCTCATCAGCCTTTCTCAGTCATGTCTGAGGCCATCTCTCCTACATTATCACTCATCTTCCCAATCATCAGACCATGACATGGAGTTTCTCTTGAAAGCCAAATGTAGTGGAAATTGGATCATCATTATCCTACTTAGGCCCTTCTACATATGGAAAACCTTTCAATCATTTTCATTTCAGTGCCTTAAGCCTTAATTATCTGAGTAATCCAGCATCGACAGTGTTTGTACACTGGAACAAGAACAGTAATTATTCATTCTCCATGTGACAGTGAGCCAGATTGAAGGTTCCTTTGTGCTTACTCTGATGTTTCCTCTTTCCACCTGGAAAAGTAGACTTAGACTTTCTATTGATTCTTTATGTAGTTTCTGCTACTTTCAATGTGATGATTTCTTAACTTCTGAGGAAGTTCCATTTGGTTGAACTCCTATTAATCTATAATTCAGAGGAGTGCAAAACAGACATATATATATATATAGTTTGATCAATGCTGTCTTTGTCTCACATGTGGACATAAATTTTTATTAATAAAACAAATATTTATTTTAACATCTGAAAGTCATCCATACTGGTTTTGCAATCAGGCACAATTATTAATAGTTTCCATAATCAAAAACAGTTATTAATATTTAATATGACATTTTCCTATAGTTCAATGTTATGTTTCTGTTGATTAAGTTAAATATATAAAACCAAAAAGTTATTTTTCTCATCTTAAAGTAAACAATGCTTTGAAACCACTTATTTCCAAATAGTTACTGTGTTAATGGGATATAAAGTCATATTTTGAAGTAAAAAGTATGTGCATATAAATATCAGATAATTTTAATTTTATTTTTTAAATATGTATTTGTTTATTTTAGAGAGAGAGAAAGAGAGAGCACAGGTGGGGGGAGGGACAGAGGGGGAGGGACAGAGATAATCTCCAGCAGACTCCCCACTGAACATGGAGTCTGATGCAGGGCTTGATCCAGCACCCTGAAATCATAACCTGAGCTGAAATCAAGAGTCAGATACTCAACTAACTGAGCCACTAAGGTGCCCCAATATCAAATACTTTAACATATTTAATAGACAAAATAAATATTTCTCTCACTCCCATGGACTTTAGGCAAGAAATTCCCTGTTTAACAAGACCACTTATAAAAATAAGATTGTTTTGAATATTTTGATATCATACTTTGTTTTCAAAGGTAATTACTTAATAATCTAAAACTGAATAAATGACAGAGAATGGAAGATCTCATAAGGGTTAAAAGGTATTAGACATTTTATTTTTGATTAAAGGTAGAGTGGAATATGTATATACATATATAAAATGGTATATTACTCAGTTATAAAAGAGAATGAAGTCTTGTCATTTACAACAACATGGATGATCTAGAGAGTATAATGTTAAGCAAAATAAGCCAATCAAAGAAAGACAAATACCATATGACTTCATTCATGTGTGGAATTTAAGACACAAAACAAATGAACAAAGGAAAAAGAGAGAGACTCTTAACTATACAGAACAAACTGAGGGTTACCAGAGGGGGCAGGTGGGAGAATGAAATAGGTGATGGGGATTAAGGAGTGCAATTGTGATGAGCACCTGGTATTTTATTAAAGTGTTGAAATACTATGTTGTACACCTAACTAATATTACACTGTGATATAATATACATATAATATATATATGGAATTTGAATAAATACTTAGAAAATAAGAACAGCATGTTTAGGAAAAGACTGCTGAGAAGATTTTCAAAGTAATTTTAGTAGAGAAAGAAGTAAAATTAAATAAAATGAAAAAATGTATTATACATATATTATGTATAATACGTACATATGCACATATACTGTACATTATATATATAATTATAGATATTATACTGCATGTTAACTAACTGGGATTTGAATAAATACTTAAAAAATAAGAATAGCATTTTTAGAAAAAGACTGCTGAGTAATTTTAGTAGAGAAACAAGTAAAAATAAAATAAAATGAAATAAAATAAAAATAATTAATTTGGGGTTTCTCCTTACACTGTTAAAAAACAAGTCTTATTTTGGAGTCAAGAAGAGCCATAAAACTGCAAATAACTTCCCCATATGCCTCTAGGTTCTTGTTTCATGTGTCCCCTTTCCCATCATCCTCAAATGATTCTGATTGAGCTTCTCTGACATGTACATGCCAGTATGTGTTTTCCCTGTGCCATCTCCAAGTTCTAAGAGGGAAAGTGTCCTTAATGTCCTATGCCTTTGGCAACTCTTTCTCTAATAAGGGGAAAGACTCAACACAGCTTCAGATGGACCTTTATATAGTACATGGGATTCTCCCAGGAGGTCAGACTTTCAGATGTGCCTAAATTTCATTTCTCAGATTCCAAAGCCTTTGAGACTCTGCCCTCATTTCCCATCTCTGAGTTGAGAGTTGACGCTACTGTCCTTTTCCCAGTGAGATAAAGGATGAGCTCTCACTGGATCTCCTTAGAATAAGCCATGCAGCATCCCTTTAATTATTCATTATACGTTTGTGGCCATTGAATTCTAATAGATTGATTTGCTTCTAAGGCGTGTAACAATTTACATTTAGGTCTACATCCACTAATCCTTAATCGATTCTGATAATTTCAGTTAAGTTGCAATAGTGAGAATCACTAAGAGACATACTACCCTGACTTTGGGATTAGTAATATGGTTATTGTTTAAGTCCTTGAGCCACCAAATGTCCTATTGATTTTTCCTTTACTCTCTCCCTGGATTCAAGCCAGACTCCAGTGAAATAACTTTCCTAGAGGTTCTCACTAATGAATAGAGATACCAGGATAGAAGCTTCCCCAAAACTCATATTTCCTAACATCTTTAACAGTTGTCAAATAATGTCAGTGACACCCTAATGAGTATGTAAGAGTCATGTCTCCTCTTGGGACCAGCATCATAATGAAAATCAGCAAGATCTTCTTTATTGTTGGGATAAAGTGGAGTCTATTTTCAGAATCTGATCCTGTAATATTCCCCTTGTCCTCTAGAAAATGCATAATTATTTATTCATTTTTTAATGTTTGCTCTAAATTATTGCCTTTCTAGATATCCTGGATGATACAATCTCCAAGTTTCCTGTATCTGGTTTCTATCACCTAGGAATCTCTTATTAACACCACAACATTCATCATGGGTTTGTTTGGGTTGTATCTTTATCCTTATCCTCATCATTTTCTGCTATCATCAGGGCCTTTAGCAATACCACAAGACATCCCACACATGGACCATCATCATATTAACGTTTTAATCATTTTAGCAATTTCAAAATCACTTGGAAAACTTCTGATTGGAATTTAATCTAGCCCAATATTGAGTACAGTGAGCAACAGAGGTGGTATATTTCTTCATTTAAAAAAAAAAAACTTTAAAAATTCTATTAGCAATTTTTACACTTTGAGGACATAAGTCAATTACATATATTGTTAAATTCATCACTAAACACTGCATTTTCACATCCAAATCTGTGTTAGTTGGCCACTGGTGCCATAT